GCAGCAGCAGCAGCAGCAGCTTTTGCAGCAGCGGCAGCAGCAGCTGCTGCTGCAGCGACAGGCCTTGTCGCTGCAGCAACAGCTCACACCGGAGCAGCTGCAGCAGCTGCTGCAGCTGCGGAGACTGAGCGAGCCATCGCAGCAGCAGCAGCAGTATCTGCTGCAGCAGCAGCTGCTGCAGCTCCACCTGCAGCAGCAGGCGCAGCAGCAAAGGCTGCTGCAGCAGGAGCAGCAGCAGCACAAGAAACCTAAACTAGATACAGCAGCAACAGCAGCAGCGGCAACAGCAGCAGCAGCAGGAAGCTTTGGGAAGTCTCCCGATGTGGCAGTCAATGTACTGCGCCCTGTTCAGCAGCAGCAGCAGCAGCAGCAGCAGCAAGTCGACCTCTCCATCCCTCTGGCCCACGCAGAGAGCAGCAGCAGCAACAGCAGCAGCCAAATAGGTCTTTCTGCCTCTGCAGCTGCAGCAGCAGAATGACTGGCCTGCACAGTAGCAGCGGCAGCAGCAGCAGCAGCTGCTGCTGCTGCGGCACCGACGGTTCACTCCGTAGCTTCAAATGCATCTCATTTTAACGATTTAAACCGACAAGTGCAGCAGCAGCAGCAGCAGCAAACAGGCGCTTCAGTATTTTTCAAAAGAAGCATTTTACTATTTTTTTTGCTGCTGTTTTCTAGCAGCTGCATTTCCTGTTTTTTTAAATCCCTTCTTACTAATTAATTTTACTATTAACTTATTTTATTTATTCATTTAGTTATTTATTCTATTTATTTTATCTATATATTTAATTTATTTATTTATTTATTTTATTTGTTTATTTAGTTTATTATTTAATGTAAATGATTTAATAGAAAGGCCAAAGGGAATAAACAGCAAAAGAAATAAATTGCGTCTGCAAACAAAGGGAGAAATAAAAAGCCTACGAACGAATTAATTAATTAAAAACAAATAAATAAACAAATAAATAGTAAAATAGATAATAAATGAATAAACTGAAAATTAAATAATCGAAAATTAGAAATAAATGAAGTTTTGTTGCAACGCGGAGATAACGGTTAAGAGCAGCAGCAAACTGACTGCTGGGGCAGACAGCTGTTGCTGCAGCTGCTGCTGTTGCTGCAGCTGCTGCTGCTACTGAAGCTGCTGTTATTGCTGCAGCTGCTGCTGCTGCTGCGCACTTTACTATTATTGCTGCCTGTGCTTTGCTTCTTATTAAACCAATCAAAAAGAGTCCAAATTCAAAATTGAAATCCAAACATACGGGGAGGTGTTTGCTGCAGCTGCTGTTGCAGCAGCAGCAGCAGCGACGGCACAGTTGTCTGGGACGCTGTTTATTGGGAACTCAGCAGCAACGGCAACAGCAGCAGCTGCTGCTGTTGCACAAGCAGTTGCTGCTGCTGGTGCTGCAGCTGGTGCCAGCAGCTGCTGCTGCGGCAGCTGCTGCGGCAGCTGCTGCTGCAGCAGCTGCTGCTGCACCAGCTGCTGCTGCTAATGAGCGAACTTGTTAAGGATGCGTTTGTGGGGAGAGTGGGAAGCAGCTGTAGATACACCGGAACTGCTGCGGTGTACATGGACCGCGGCGTGTTTGCGGGGGGATATTTTGTGAACAAAAAGACAAACTTTGAGTTTATAAATAATATTAATTATGTTCACTAAATGCAAAAAATTGCCCTTTTGGCTTCCAAATGCATGCAAATCGTCGCACAAATTACCAGCGCAGCTGCGGTGTACGCGCAGCTGCGGTGTATGCGCAGCTGCGGTGTATGCGCAGCTGCGGGCTGCAGCAGCAGCAGCAGCAATTCGAATTGTTTTCATCGTCAGAACAATAATATTTAATTCTTATTATTAATATTAATTTTTAAATAACAATAAAGCTAAAAATAAGGGAAAAAGAATCAAAGAAAAGCACAAGACGACGCAGCCGTCCAGACACAAACAAAAGAAGGCAGCAAATGGCTCATTTGCTTTCACCTATTTTACTTATTTATAATTTCATTAAAGCCATTTATTTATTTATTTATTTACTTAAAATTAATTAATTAATTAATTAACTAATAAATTAATCAGTTAATTAATTAACATATTCATTTATTTGTTTCTATTCCATTTGGAGCCAACTGCAGCTCTCGCTGCTTCACAGCTGGCCAAAAGGCAAACGCGCAAGCTGCTGCTGCTGCTGCTGCTGCTGCAGCAGCAGCCAGTGCTGCTGTTGCCGTAGGTGCAGCAGCCGCTGCCGCTGCTGCACTTGCTGCCGCTGCAGCTGCTGCTGCTGCAGCTGCCGCTGCAGCAGCTGCTGCCCCCCCCGGCCCCGCTGCCGCTGCTGCTGCTGCTGCTGCGCCTACGCCCCGCAGCAGGCGGGGTCGAGTTTGTGGGGAGCGTCTGCTGCTGCTGCTGCTGCTGCTGCTGCTGGTTTGTTTTGGAATTTGTGGCTGAGACAGAAAACCCCAAACCCTAGTCCGAGACAAACAGAAATAAATAAATATAAATTAAATGTCATTACAACGAGCATCAGCAAATAGTCGAAGGCGTAGACAGCTGTATATACACCCGAGCGCAGCAGCTGCTGCCGCCACGCTGCAGCAGCGCCCGCCTTTCCCGCTGCTGCTGCTGCTGCTGCTGCTGCTGCTGGGGGGGCACTGGTCCACTGGTCCACTTGCTGCCGCAGCAACTTCAAAACCACCGAAAACGCCCCCAGCAAAAACCATATCACGCAAGACAGCCAAAACGACACGTCCTGCGCACAAACCCTAAACCCTAAACCCTAAACCCTAAACCCTAAACCTTAAACTCTAAACCCTTCAAGCCACCTTGCCCGACACAGGGCCGCCGCTACGGTTTGTCTCGGCCCGAGGGGCTGGGGTCTGCGGAGCTGCGAAGGGGCTGCAACAAGGGTTTAGGGTTTAGGGTTTAGGGTTTAGGGTTTACGTTGGTTGTCTCCCAAGACCTAAACAGAATAACGGTGTGAGTTGAAGTTTGAAAGCTCATGGGCATAACTCCGCAGCAGCTGCTTTTGTTTCCCACTGCTGCTTCGTGTTTTGCTGCTGCTGCTGCTGCTGGTGATGCTGCTGCTGCTGCTTTGCTGCTGCAGCAGCCGCCGCCCCCTGCTGCTGCTGGTGCTGCTGCTGCTGCTGCTTTGCCGCCGCAGCAGCCCCCATCTGCTTCCACTGCAGTTGCTGCAGCAGCAGCAGCAGCAGCTGCTGCTGCTGCCTTCTTGCCTTGGCAGCAGCCAGGTGCTCCTGCTGCTTGTGCTGCTGCTGCCTTGCTGCTGCAGCAACCGCCACCTGGTGCTGCTGCTGCTTGGCGAGAAACTTCATTGTCTCCGCAGCAGCCCTTCGATGGTCCTGCTGCTGCTGCTGCTGTTGCTGCTGTTGCTGCAGCTGCTTCGCCTTTGGAGCAGCCGCCACATTTCCCTGCTGCTCCCTCCGATGCTGCTGCTCCTTCTTCTGCTGCTGCTTGTGTTGCTGCTGCTGCTGCTTCTGCTGCTGCTTTCTTTTTGCATCCACAGCCGCCCTTCTTGGGAGGAGCGGCGCCACTGTCTGCTGCTGCTGCTGTTGTTGCTGTTGCTGCTGTTGCTGCTGCTGCTGCTTCTGCTGCTTCTGTGGAAGCGTCGTTCACGGGTGTTGCTGCTGCCGATTCTGCAGATACTTCTGGTGCTGCTGCTGCTGCTGCCGCTGCTTCTTTTGCTGCTGCTGCTGCTGCTGCTTCTCTTGCTGCTGCTGCTGCGTCCCCGCTCGTGTCGGGAGCAGCAGCTGCAGCAGCAGCTGCGTCCTCTGTTGCTGCAGCCTGCAGCAACCTACTGCAGCAGCAGCAGGCAGCCGCCAGAAGCAGAGCAGCAGCTGCAGCCTTCATTGTGGGGTTTAGGGTTTAGGGTTTAGGGTTTGGGGCGTCTGCTATTAAAAGGCCCAAGCGTAGAGACACCCCAAACCCTTAATAGAAAACCCCTAGTGAAAAGATACTGATGTGCTGCAAGCCCTAAACCCTAAACCCTAAACCCTAAACCCTAGCCCGTGAACCCTAAGCCTTAGGGCCTGAGACAAGGGAGACAAGCTGGCCCTGAACTCTAAACCCTAAACCCTAAACCCTAAACCCTTGACGGGGTGTAAGGTAAAGGAAAATATTCTTTCTAAAAGTTCAGGACAAACTTGGAAAGAGAAACAGCAACCGCTGCTACTAGCCCCGAAGCCCTAAACCCTAAACCCTAAACCCTAAACCCTAACTCGTAAACCCTCAACCCTAAACCGTAAACCGCCGTCGGGTGTAGGCAGCAGCACTGCAGCGGGGAACTAGGGACAGGAAGGCAGCAAATTTAGTTGCTTTTCCGTCGCCAATTTGCGAGGGTTTAGGGTTCAGGGTTTAGGGTTTAGGGTTTAGGGTTTAGGGTTTGGCGTGGAGGTCCCACGACCCCAAGAACACCCCAGACCCCCGCTGCAGTCTTTCTCTTGGAGTTAATTAATTAAGAATAAATAATATAATTACTTTGAAGTTAAATTAGCAGCAAAAATGAGTGTTAGATCAGAAGGTTGCTGCTGCTGCTGAGCGCTGCTTCGAGAGGTACCTAGGGTTTAGGGTTTAGGGTTTAGGGTTTAGGGTAGCGTTCGTAGGGTAGTGGCTCTGCTGCGCGGCCGCGGCCTAAGAGCTAAAGCAAAGGAGCGAATAGAGAATTAATATTTATGAGGGTTTAGGATTCAGAAAAGTAGCTTTGCGAAGCAGGGTTTAGGGTTTAGGGTTTAGGGTTTAGGGTTTAGGGTTTACGCAAGACGAGCAGTGGGGGCCCTACGTGTCGATGGGCAGCAGCGCGGGCGCTCGGGGCAAGGGTTTACGGTTTAG